TTCTCTATGAGCCTTAGTAGTCCATCTTTCTGCCATGTTTTATCAAAAGTTAAGGAAATGTCCCTGGATTCTGTGGCATATAATATGAAAAGATGAGTCAGCATTCTATAGCAAAGACGACGTGGAATGTGATGTCATGGTCACATAATGTTCTTTTGACTTTATACAAGACTTTCTGTTCAATGTCATCTTGGGGATACTTGCTCTTATGTTTGCAGTTACCATTCTTACCTGCTAACAAATTTTCCCAAGTTATTTTGCATGATTGACTTCTTGTTAAAATTATTGTAGGTGGCTGTATCTAATTCTGGTGATGGAAGGTACTTTTTTGAAGTGGGAGGGTAAAGAGATAACCATCTGCATAAATAACTTAATGTACTAATTTAAACTGGAAATACATACTCTAAATAGGAACAAGGGATGACAGTAATAAGGAAACATTACCAACACAGGTAATTAAGACTGTGGATTAAGATTAGGAAGGTCTATTGGCTTTCATTACTAAAACAATTTAAGATTTTTACTGATTGGGTACAATATTTTGAATCCCTTCTCATCATTAAGTAAAATCATGTTTTATCTTTGAAAAAAAATTAAAGTTTAAAGAACTGACTCACTTAAGTGGAAAAATGTTCTAAGAAAAATATCTAGATGAATTCAAAGTAAAATGACAAAAGAATAACAAAAAGATTTTTTAAAAAGCAAGGTTTTTAAAAGGAACAGTAACTAAAAAGATTTTTAAAAGAACATTAACTAAAAAGAAAGTGAAAAGGCAGAAATTTTTGAAAACTAGTAAATTTGAGGTCTCACAATCTTACCTTAAAGTTGTTTTTTCATGTTAATGAGTCAATTTCAAAAGCGCTCCACAAAGAAGCCATGCTCTATAATTCCTAATTACTGAAAACAAGAGTATTGGCTTTTTCTTCAACAAAAATGCTACCATTAGCAGCAAACAGCATCGGGGTGCGGCCGCAGAGAACAATCATGTGCCATAGGTCTAAAAGGCTAGGAGAAAGCATGGTGAACACATTTTCCTTGTAAAAAATGAAAAATGTTTGAGGCAATATAGGTTTAAGTTGGTTTCCCATTAAAAAATGTACACATTAAAAATACCAGTTTTCACATAGTATCAAATTTTTATTTTGTATTCCTCACTTGAAAACAAATGCCATTAAAAAACTTCTGCGGTAATATTGCTTTTACTTTCAGAAACATGCTGACGGTATACAGCCTCAAATTCACTCTTGTTTCAGCCTGAGTGCTGGGATTACATGTGTGCACAATAATAATAATACACACACACACGTATATATGTGTGTGTATAGTTATTAATATTTGGATTATTTTTAATGAACAATGAGTTACTAAGGATATTGATATTCCACTGAATAAGGGTGGGTAGTTGTTACTTAATCTTACGTTAAGTTACTTTGTAGTATACTCAACAGGACTGAGACTGGTGTTGGACATAGGAACTCGGGATAACTACATAGTTACATGGAATAGTTTATTTGCTTTGTACTAGACATATCATAAGTTACCTTCTGCCCTTGTATCTAAGAATATAGCATAGTCCATAACATCTTGTTAGGTGATGTTTCTTGAACTAAGTCATTGATTATTGAAACATATATAATAAACTAATAATAAAACATGTAGGGGTGGAGTTTGAGATCAGGAGTAGAGCACTTGCCTAGCATTAACAAGTCCTGGATCCAATCTTCTGAACCCACATATAAATACACACACATATATTAAAACATATTAGTGCCGTATTTCAAATAAATTTAGTATCACAATACACATGGTGATACATATATTGTTTGATGTTGACTGTATTATTAAAATTTTAAAGGGTCGGAAAGTAAAGGGTACATGTTTCTGAATGGTTGCTTTCAAACTGTCAAGGGTTAGGCATGGCCTATTATTATATCCAGCAAGAACAGAAAGTACTCATTCAAAGACAATTAGGAAAAGTGACGTTAGTTGGAGTTTTAGAAATCCTCTCCGGAAGCACAAGAGGTCTGCTGTGGTATGGTGCTGAGTGGCAGCAGGATAATGTTTCAGAAGTGAACGAGGTCAGAACTACACATGGCACAAGTGGATGGAGGTGGTGTATGTATATCTACTGCAGTAAAAAAGCAATGGATGACCCCAAAACTAGGATGCAAAGCTAAAGATCAAGTGTGGGCTTTGCAAACCAGATGAAGTAAAATTAGCCATCCTTGTTAACATCTTTCCTTGCTCTGTAGTAGGTTCCTTTTAAAACACTTTAGAGATGTTAGCCTACGAGTTTTCCCCATAGCAAGTAAGCCAGGTTTCTAGGGAAGCAAGTATCTGTGCTGGACTGCAACAAAATCTAGAAACTGCTGAACTCTCCTGCAATGTTCACACCCTTGTTACTACCTATTGAAGTAGGAACTGTCAACCACAGCTGAAGACACTTATCATGGTCAAAGCCTTAAAGTACTGAAAAACGAATTCAGATGGTCCTGCTGTGAGCCCTTCAATTGAACTACTGTGTCTTCAGTTCTTAGTTTAAGAAAGCTGTCAGGGCACGTCTTACAGTAAACATTTTATGACATTAGTCCACTGTGGTTTCAATTCTTACCAATCTTTGTGGCACAGCCCCGCTGGGTCATTCCCATCCTTCCATTCACAAGGGAATTTGACAGCAGAGATAGAGAGACGAGTTCCTGAGCCCCTGACCTGGCCAATGCTTCCCTTCTCCAAATCCAGTCCATGTGAGAGCTGCTGTCCACATCTGAAAACTTTGGAGGGGAGCTGCTATTCGGTGTAGCCCTGAGCAAACGTGACTTGGGAGTAGACACCTCAAATGCTGTGGGCAATGTTAGGGGCTGGCTAAGTATGGCGATGATGTCATTGTCACAATCAAGTCATTTCAATAGAGTCATTTCAGTGTGGCATTTTGATCCTGTCAGAGTGAGTTCAAAGCAAGACCTCTGACATCTCGGTCTCTCAATTTCATTCTTGTTCCACTTCACAATGCTAAGTTGCTGGATGCTGAACATTGAGAATGAATATATACTAAGATTTCAAAAGTCTCCAAATTCTTATAAAATAGATGATTTCCCAAAGATATACTGGACTGCCTCAACCATGGCAGAGATTGTCTGTCCAGACCCTCCAGTCAATGGAGTTAGTCAACCAAAAACCTTATCAACATTGTGTTGCTGTGTTCCGCAGGCTTTTACTCCTGCAGAGGCCTAGCTACATGAAGGAAACCACCACTGCAGAGTCTCAGAAAGATGACACACCGTCACGTGCTGCTGAGTGTCACGGTCATTCCAAAGCACAAAGTAAATCTCGTGTATATGTGATGAAGTCTTGCATTGAGCAAATGATTTTGTTCTTTCCATGTGTGAAAAAAAAAGAGGTGGTGCCTAGCAGAGGGCCCTGACCCATGAACTGGCTTTTAGTAGACTCCTCATTAATACTGTATCCTTCTGAATGATATGTTTTGAGGGGAAACTATTACACGCAAAATTTTTTAGTACACTCATTTGCTGTTGTGATAGAATACAGCTTCATGTGAAGTACCGCAAACGTCAAAATGGATTTTTGTTATAGCATTTTCATTCAATCAAAACACACCTGAAATAGGGGTTGGAGAGAGAGTTCAGTGGTTGTGAGGACGTGAGTGCTGTTACCAGAACCCATACCTGCCTGGAATGTAGCTCCAAGAGAGTTGGCATCCTCGTCCGGCTTCACAGACACCCACACACATGTGGGCATACAATCAATCAGAGAATCATGTATGCAAATAAAATAATAAAAATAAATTCGTCTGGGTGGTGGGGGCACATGCCTTTAATCCCAGCACTCAGGAGGCAGAGGCAGGCAGATTTCTCAGTTTGAGACTAGCCTGGTCTAAAGAGTGAGTTCTAGGTCAGCCAGGGTAACAGACAAACCTTGTCTCAAAAATAAAATAAAATAAAATAAAACTGGATATCTCAGACTAGAGAGAACTAGTTCTCTATTATAATTTATTTTTTATTTTATGTGCATTGGTGTTTTGTTTGCATGAAGGTATATGTGTGCGGGTGTCAGGTCCCTGGAACTCAAGTTACAGATAGCTGTAAGCTTCCATGTGGGTGCTGGGAATTGAACCCGGGTCCTCTGGAAGAACAGTCAGTGCTGTAAGTTGCTGAGCCATCTCTCTAGTCCCATAAGTTTTTTATGGTATTCAGAAAAGTTGTAAAGCTTCCTCTCTTTGATGAATGTCTTGCAAAATGGTGGCATATGTTGTGAACTCAAACCACTAACAGAACTGTTAGCGATAAGTCAACAATAAATAAGGTATTTATCATCATCATTATTCCTGAAAGAAGATTTGGAAAAAAATGATTTTCAAATGAGAAGTGTGCAACCTTTGACAAATACTGAGGACCACAGCGAACATATAATAAAACTGAATGACAAAATAGTTTCTTCATATTGGAACATAGTTCTTCACAAATATCAGGTATGAGATACCACCTATCACTAACTGTTAAGACTTCAATTTATTGTTCAACAAATTCAAACACAGTCACATGATCAAACACACACACACACAGAGAAGGTATGCAGGCTGTGGCTCAGCCCGCTGTTTAACCTTTGTTTCCTTCTGAACAGAGTGCAATCTTATTGACGAAATTGTCTCTCAGAGCTCGTCAATAGGAATCAGCCAAGTATATTACATTTCCTCTAGAAAGATCTAGAATTAAAACTCTGTTGTTGTTTTTTTTTAACTTACATATATTTTCCTCATATACCATTTAAGTTAGTAGAGCATTAGGAAAAGTGGGCTGAGAGATTTAGAACGCACTGGGAAAATATCAGTTATCTCTTCAGTTTAGATTCTCAGCATCAGAAAGCATTATCTGCCTTCGCTGCAATCCTTTGAACCCAGACAATTCATACGTATGTTATTACGGTGTATGTAATGTATGTGAAATGCAGAGAAATAATTCACTACTCAATCTCAGATACACATATGTACTTAAGAAAGAGAAGTTTTATTAGGGCAATTTCACTTTATTTTTCCATACAGCAAAGTCAACTACTGCAGTAATAATAAAATAAGCATAAAACAAATTGCAGCCCTAGACAAAATACATAATTGTAAGCAACTACAAGCAGAAAGTAAGTTGTGATTACATAATAGTAAAACCAAGCACATTGTCCTTTCGGCAGATGAAAGTGGTCGGGTTGCTGGTAAGTGCAACATCAGCAGCCAGCTGGAGTGAAGGCTGGGCAACCAAGTCATTCAACAAGTGGCCACTGTCACATTCTGCTCTTTTGAGTACTTCCGAGTTGAAAATTAAAACTGTGAAATTTGAACTTCTCTTTTTCACCTGCGGAAAGAACAAGATCTACAGCAATTAAAAAACAATCACGTAACAACTACAGGTGTGCTGTTTGGTTTGCCTGTTTATGGTTTAAATTTTGTGAAAGTCAATACTTGTTTTGAAGATTTCGTTTTGTGAACAATAAACCATTGAAATTGGCAGAAACTGATTGGAATAATATATGTCCTTAGCATAGTTCTTTCTCTCTTTTTGTTGAAGTTTTAAACATGCAGTAGTTTTGAAAACAATGTAAGGAATATCTGATCCATGATTTCACCTTAATGGCTGAAGTACCTGCTATTTTTGGTAATGATCTTCAGGCAGATTTGGCCCAATGGAGTTTTGTCAGTCATGAGATCTTGGAAGGATGGCAAATCTTTCCAGCTGAAAAATCCTGGCAAACTACAAGCTGTCCACAAAAAAGCAAAGCAACGTGTCTGAAGGGTATGGAGTGCGAAGTCTGCGCCGCCTTTGCAGCAATTTTGCTCAGTCTGTCATCTCATTAGCCTTAACAAAACTCCTTGTAATTATAGACGTTTTTATTCAAAATAAGATCTTGCTATTATACAGGTTTCTCTCTTTTGACTATATACAGAAGTGCAAAAAGTCAACCTTTCTCTCTAGACTTTCCAACATGCTCAACTGCAGCATCATCAACCCTCAAGAGTTTGCACACACGCTAAAATTCTCATTACGTAAACTTTGAGTATTTGGATTATCAACAAAAAGTCCCTTGTTCTATTTATTGATTATGCAGCTTATTTATAACAAGGCCTGATATTCAGGGATTTCAAAAATATTAAACAATACTTTAACATTTGAAATGGATACAGTAGAAAATAAATTTTATTCTAATATCTAGGATCTAGATCTTCTCATAATAACTAATTACAAACAAAATAAATCATCAAAATATTACTCAATTGTCTGCCAGGATTGTTGCCATAGCAACAACTTAACTTCTTACTTAGCAATGATTATATATTTATAAGATATCCATATAAAAGATCTTTGTTCTTTTAATGAAAACTAGACAAGAACAATGACTGACATTCTTACACTGTAATATTAAATCAGTAAAATATAAATCATTTAGTTAACAATAATACGGATATTCATATGACACTACATGTAATTTAAAACTGAGTATGTTATGAAGGAAAAACTACTTTAATTTTTTTTGTATTTTGAAAAATTCATTGGTAAAATCTAATAAAACAATAGTCTATAAACTGAAATGGTATTCAATTGTTAATAGAAAATGAAAATCTAATAAATGTAGGAAATGAAAAACTACATTTTAACAAGAAAAATAAGTAATATTCTATAATGTAACTAACTACAATAACATGTGAAGTCACCATTACTCTCTTAACACGATTGAAATTACATTGGTATGGGTTCCAACCCGTAATGTAATAATCTAAGGCTTTAATAGATGTACAGTACAATCAGTAAATCAACACATCAGTCTTATATTAGAAAGCATCTCTCTCAAGCATAAAAACTTGCAGTAAACTTGGAAGTATGGAAAGTTCTATAACGGAACTCTCACTTCTCCCATTCCACTCTAGAACTGCCAGTGACCTGGCCCCTGCTCAGCCATTTCAGAACTGCTGAGCAGAGCAAAAATACCCTTTACTAGCTGCAACATCCAAACCACAAAAAAGGGGAATTCCTTTGGATGAATCCATTCTTAAAAACTGAATGCACATCTATTTTTAAAATTTTTTAAAAGGCTTTCTAAGGCTATAAGCAGTTAATCTGAACAAAAGAATCACATATAAAATTCACCCATGTACTTAACCCACCCAATTACTAGGTTAATTAAACATTTCCCATTTTCATATTTTGGTTTTCATGCATCTGATGACAGTGCTGTTCTCTTTGTTTAGAGTCACTATTCTGAACGTGACTGTGTTGAAGCATTGAAGCGAACGTGAAACCATTTCTGCAAAGCATTTATAGTCTTTTGACTTTTGACAGAGGCTATAAATAGAAGCAAAATAATTTCCTCAAACATTTTTTTTGTTATTGTGTCTCAGAAATGGCATATCCCTTTTGAATAACGTTATATAGTAGAGTATGCATAAATATTACACTACAATGCATTAAAATAATTTTATATATCTATTATATATATTTCCAGTATGTGAAAGTTTATCTGTACTGAGTTTGTGTTGTGCTGTCTATTGTTACTGTAGAGTTAAATTGGCCATTTCTGAGACAGCTTTGGTTTCAAAAACAAAAAAAGAAAAGAAGAATGGTGCCCTTTGATTGATTAGTACTAGCAAATAAGCAACAAAATGTGGCTCTGAAAATAATAACACTGAAGAAATAATACTCTAATTTGATGTACAGTCTATGGCACTTCATGAGAATCCTTAACAACATGGTACTTAAAGCCATGATGTGCTTTAAAATATACACAGTTGTGGTTTTGCTTGGCACATTCATCTCTGTCAGATCCCTCCCTCACCACGTCTTACAATCTATTACAGTAAAAATATTACTCTTAAACAAAAAGGACTGTGCATGCGCGCTCTCAGCTCTAATGGCAACTTTAAATACAAGGTGCACCTTTGTTACTTGTAAACCTTGAAAGAAATAAACTCATTTTTAAAAAATTATATCTTGGTCTACAGACGTACCAATACATAATAGAATCATGGTTACACCATAGTCTGTCTTTTCAAGATGGCATGAATCTATAGGAAACTAATTATGTATGCATATTTTAATGCATAACTCTGTGCTACAAAAGAAAGACAATGTTGTTCTTTTAGATAGGAATATCACCTCAGCACAAATACCAATTGAATGTACAAAGTGTGTAGGCAACAGTGTGCAGCAAGTTCCCATGTTGTCTTTTCTTCTGGTTAACATGCAATATGTGGATGTCTTGTGGCTGAGGGATTTTTGTGTGTGTTGCTTGACGGTATATACAATATGGCTAATGACGTCGTCCTTACTCTAACCAAGCACACTGTCCTTTCCTCTCTGATGATCTACAATGGAAAAAGAGATAGTCTTTGTTAAAACACATTAATTGTTGAAAACATTTTCAGTATATAGTTATATACATTTCTCTCTCTCTCTCTCTCTCTCTCTCTCTCACACACACACACACACACACACACACACACACACATACACACACGACACACAGACACCATGCGGCAAGAACTCCTTCTACATTTATAACCAATAAATTAATGTCCTGACTCCATGCATTTGAGCAACTATGAAGGAACTACGTTTTATTTCCCACCCACTCTTCCATTTTTTTAGACAGGTCTCACTGAGTATCCTGCCGAGCCTGGAGTTCATTATATAGACCAGCCTTGAGCTTATAGAAATTCACACATATTTTGAGTCTCCAGTGCTGGGATTAAAGGTGTATACTTGGACATACTTGGACAGAACTGCTTTGAGAGAGCTTACAAAATGGAGAAAAATCAACTTAAATAACTGTTGACTGCAATGGATCTTTTGCAGGCTCCTCAAAGTCTCAGTTCATTTCTTCCTTAAATGGATCTCATATTCTGCCCACTGTTCTCTCTAGTCTAGGGATCTGTGTCTGGCTCTTGGGGAGATTCTTCTCGCCTGGTTTTCTAAGCACCACTGAAGACCTGACTCTGTCCCTTCTGCCAGGTCCTTACTCTCCCCTTCACACAAGACCTTCATTTTCTAAATGCCTTCTCTGACTATTGAGAAGAGGAGCCCTGGACCTCTGCCTCACAGGACGCTCGTTCAAAGTTCTCTTGTGTTAGCACACAGTTCTGAAATCATTTACATCATTGATGGGGTAACTAACAGAAAAGCAATACAAAACATTACTTGCCAATATGTCAGTGACCAAATAAATGCAGGAAAGCAACAAAAAACCACCATCCTTCTACTGACCAGACTGAGTTTTAAATGGCTCTTTGTCATGCTGCTGTAGACATGATCTAATTTAAGTGTGTATATGTTGAATAAACATGTTCTTTAGGGAGGAAAAATAGCAAATTTTGCAGGTATTGAAAACAATGTTACAAACAGCAAACACAAGATGCCAAACCCTTGTGAAGAACAATAACATCTTCAGAATCCTGTATCACTAAGTTAGCTGTCTTGAACTATTATTTAACAAAAAAACCTGCACATGTATGTATGTATGTATGTATGTATGTATGTGTATATATACATACACGTATATAAAGTTATTTGACTTGGATCCATTGTTCCCTATTGATCCTGTACTGAGCGATACATGATACAGGTGGGTATGTATTATCATACAGGAATGAGTGAAATAATATTAAAATAAAATTAATGACTTCTGCACAGTCACCAAATGACTACCTATGAGCCAAATCTAGTCCACTGATTAATTTGAAAACAAAGTTTTTTGAGGTATGGTCCACATCTACTTATTTCTGCATTCTCTCAGTGTTTTTGCACTAATGTGGGGGAGTTGCAGCAGAAACTGAATGCTGTATACAGACAAAAATAGCTGATCTGTAGGCCTTGCAGAAAATTTCATCAAATCCTATCCCATGTCTTTGTCTTCTAAGTACCTTTGCCATCTTTTATTCATGCTTGTACTTATTTGGAGTATCAATTAAAAACACCCAAATATTTATCCTTTGCATTTTAAGCATTAAACATATTCCAACCACGAATACTGAGTGATTATACTGCATAATAAACTTACTGTTTTGTGACGACAACTCTACATCTGGGTAACATACTTGTGGCTAGTCAGATGTTCGGCAGATATTATGGGTATCTAGCAAATAAAAAATTATTTAATGAATGATCCATGCAAGCAAGCCAACCACCAAGAGATGAAAACATCTTAATATTAAACTTATACAAAACAGTGAGATTTAGCTGTGAGGTGACAGCCCTCATCAGGTCAACATGACATAAAGTTTATATAAACGCAAATGCCAGAGAAACACCTCACTGCTTGTAATCTTCGCGTTAAGTACTACTCTACAGATGTTATCAGTACTTAGAAAGTAAGAGAAGTACAGCTACCAAAAATTCATGCAGAGCAGTTATTAAAAGAAGCCCTTTTTGTTGGCCTACACACACACGCACACACACACCCTTGTGGTTTCAAATACTTAGCAATGATACTGAAATCAAGAATAAAAAATGTCTTGCCTAAGTTTGTGCAACCAAATTTCTAATATTTTCATTCAGATCAAAGTGTTTAACTTTTGACCCAAATTAAATATACCGGGTGTGAATTATAAAAAAGTGGTTCAAAAAAATAAGTGGGAAAGAGAATAGGTTTGTTCATGAACTGACTTCGGAACCTCGGCTACACATGCCATTGCATTTTAAATAGGCAGGGACTCAAAGAACTTCGGAGAAAATACAACGAGAGACCAATACAGAGGTTACTTTTACAAAATCAAACATGTGACTTGATTCTTCTCCAACCACCAATTCAAGGTTGATAATGTGGGCAAGACAGCCCCACAGGTTGAGTGTAGCAGAGGCCTGAGGACATTGGTTCTAATATTTATTTGTTTCCTGGTTGTGTGAACCTGAGCAAAGCAACTAACTGGTGACTACTTAAACTTATTCTATACAATGACACTAAGTCCACTTCAGAAAGTTTGTTGGGGTAACAATGGTCTTACATACATGAAGGTTTTTGTTGTTTCAATTTAAATATCCTAGACTATGTCAAATCTTCTAAAACCTATAATTGACAGTCTAGAGTATCTATTACTATGTTCCTTTTATTTTTAATTTCTTAGCTGACATTGTACACAATTTTACAGCATTGGCAAATGGCACAAAAATGTGCTCCAAGCATAATGAAGCTTCTCATACCATTGTTCCTGCTGCTGCAGGGCAGGATGTTGCACCCAGCAGTGTAGAAGCATCAAGGATGGGGCTGTCGACACATACCAAGGACCTTCAACACCACTCGATGCAGATGAAGGGCCAGCTATAAACTTCTGCATGCATGCAGGCTGCATTTTGTGGCATCAGCTATTCCCAGCATTGCTAATGTACTGTAGGCATATACATATGTATGTATATGTAGATATAATATATGTGTGTATATATATATCCATTCCCTTTCCTTTGGTTGTAGAATAGTAGTAGTATGAAGACCCAGGGAATTATGCATGAAATGGTCACAGCACAATGCAAAAAGTAAAGTGTCCCCTACAACCCAAGTGGCCAAGGGCATTCTGAATTTGCTTTGCTATAGTTGTTCTTACACCAGCAATTCTATAGTCTTATGTGGTATATGCAGGAGATTCCAGCATCATTGATGTGCACCATAAATGGACTGCACTGCATCTTATTGAGATTTCTGTCAAACTATAATGCCACATATGCACAAGCTAGCATTCTTGTAAATGAGTCTTCTGTGTTAGTATAAACCCAAGGGTATTTTGATGAGTCTGAACTTAGCCAAGAATTATTTAAGGCTTGTCTGAAACTTAAATCCTTTTGGCATTATGATCTTGAAAGGTTTTAATGACTATATTAATAGCTGAAAGTTCATCAACGGAAGATGATATATTGAAAAAACAAAACCCAAAAAACCCATCAAACAAAAAGAAAGCGGATGCTCCTCATAGCAGTAACTTTTGGTTCTTAGTTTGTCTGCCTGCTCCAAGGGCACTAAGGGTTCTTTTTAATCTTGTTAGACTCCATCTAACTTCTGCCAGTGAAACAGGCATAACCCGATTTAGTGGCTTTCATACACCACCATCCCTACTAAACTGTGCTTTCATAACTTATTTATCATTCATGATTTCTTTTTCTTCATCCCTAAATATCCCATATTGATGCAGGTTAACTGTGGAAACGAGATAGCACTTAATTTCCTTTTCCATTTAAAGCAGCTAGACTCAAAGCTGAGAGACGCTGCATATAAAAGCAATTCATTTTAAAAAGCAATCTGCTTATCAGAAATTAAACTATAAAAATTATATATCAAACTCTATTTACAAGAGTGGTCATTTGTGGCATAGGAATACATTAAAATATTTTCTCTTTTTTATTAAGAATTTAGGAACAAGCTGAGAAAGTATATACCAGATGCTTTAATAATAACCTTGTAATTGCTCCCACATTGGGTGACCAAAATACTTAAGACAATGGGTTGAGAAAAATGAGAATTGCTTGTGTAAATATCAGTTTAGTAGCTTCAGAAACAGAGCTGCGACACTTTGGAGCACTTATAAATGGCATAAAAGCAATCGGCTGCTTGTCATAGAGAGAATGTGTAGGCCAACAAGAGGTATCTTTGAACCCCATGCTCATGATGGCACCCTCTACAGCTCTCACACACACACGATTCCCACTGAGCACAATGGGAGATCCATGTGCGTTAAGGCTGCTGGACTTGGCCCTAGTAAGAGTTGGTTTTTAAGAAACAAAGCTGTAAATTAGCAAACCTGGTTGGCTGTGGCTGTTGCAGCGAAGGGAACACTTGTGGCAGATGTTGTTGCTGCGGACACAGTGGCTGGCGTAGCACCGTGCACCATGGGAACTTTCGGAGGGAAAATCATATAAGCAAACATACAGAAGAGTGTAGCAATATGGAAACCATGGCAACATGGAGGAGATCATTGGGCAATGGTATTTATCATAGCAAGAAGCCATGTGACAGGACATCATCACCAGCGAGTGACATGCAATCACAGCGCAAAGCAGGACAACATTCCAAGGAGAGAAGGGGAGGGAGGGATGAAAGAGAAAAAAAAAGAGGGGGGGAAAAAAAGCTTGTTACCATTAAATCAAGAAAATCGATACAAACAGGCTTAATTTGCTAAGTTAAAAAACAAGAATTTTATATAGTGTTCAAAGACATTAAAATATAAATAAAATACAGGTATTTACTTTGTATATATAATTATCCATTTGAATAAAAGTTCTTTTTTATTATTCACTATTATAAAAATATACAGTCATTACTTTTATGAGAGAGACTTGTTTTTATATACCAGAACTCATAGTCCAATCAAAATCCACTAATAATTAAGTGATTAAGGAAACTTGTGTGGAAAGAAAACATTTATGTGGGGGGGACATGTCAATTAAATAGAAATTGGCATTTAATTGACAGGTGTTAGTAAAAAGGAAATGGACTTGCCCAATAGATAAACGTTAAACTTAGCAGTGGATTTTGAGGGGCTGTGAGATGCAATGTAGGTTTAAGATAATCAAGAAACAAAGCTGGCACCTACCAACACTTGTAGCGGGTGTCATGCACAATATTGAGCCTGCCCATCATGCATTGCAACAGGAAGGTGGATTTGAAAAGGGAAAAGAATTAAAACATCCCATCACACGTGTAATTAGGAAATTCATTTGAACAAAGAAGAAAACTTGTTATTACGGGAACAGTGGCATGTAACTGTCAGCACAATCAAACCATACAGTAGCACAGTGGTCAGTTAGAACTAGTCCCGGGTGAGGAGTAAGAGCCAATTTCACTGTGTGCTGGTATACTTGCTTTCTCTGAACTGCTGCTTCTAAATAGAGCACTTTCAAGAAAATTTAAACCTATTTAATTCATTTAGAAGAACTTCTGTAATGTTTTGTTTTAATCCAGCTGCCAGCTCTTAGCATTGCTTTGCTACTTCCGAATCTGACACATGCATTTTTTTTGTAAGACTAAACACTCTGAGTAATTAGAAATAGTGTTCATTATTAAAATGCTAAATACCCCAATGCACGAAACTGACTGGACAATGTCATGAAACAGAAACGAATTTAAACTCTTGGGCTTTGCTTCTCTGCTCACTGTAGCAGCAACCATACAGACACAACGAGGATGTGACCACCCGGACAGCAACTTCATTCAGAGGGCTAGCAAGCACTAAATCAACAGGATGCAAAAAGGGAAAACTCTTCATTTCTTTAGTGTAGAATTCAAAGGTGGAAAAAGTATTGTGGGGAATCTCAAACCAGTTTCCCTGTAGGCATCTGGCAAAAGAGAATGACTTCCGCTGCTAGCTTAGACCTTTAAGGCTTCTTAGAGTAGCCAAAGTTTACAAAAACTCACAGGCAAGAATTTGCTAATTAGACATCAATGAGTGGGAGATAATGAGGATGCGCAGGTCACCCACGAGGTCTTAAGCCCCAATGTCCACAGAGGTGTGACTGTAAGAACTAAATATAATGCCACATTCATAGTTCCTGCTGCCTCCTGACATAGAAATATTGAAACTCTATCTATTTTTACCAAGAATAGGCCACAGTCGCATATGGAGAACTACTGTTCTTTCCACAAGACTATTTTCGACTCCTTAAGGTTTAAAATATAAAATGATTTTATATTTCTATCTAAATCTCTAAATCTTGGCACATCCTGTTTAACTACCAGTAGCATCTGGGATGAACATTTGTTAGAAAAATATCTGCCAACTGAGTCTTGTCAGAAATGGTTTTACACAACAAACTGCCATTGAGAAACATAACTGAAACGAAGATTACTCAACCGGCATTGCTGTTACATCTGCAATACATCCGGGACCGCAATTAGGCCAGGGCCACTGAGGCCAGATTAAAGCGAGTAACGGATCTAGGGAAGCAACTAATAGTCTCTAGGGAGGCATTATTTAAGACACTTGAATAGTTTTGTACTTTGCTACTACTACTGTATAAAGACTTGTGAAGGGCAACAAGAACAACGAAACAGACCAATAACAAAGAATATATTTAAAGACAACAGAGCAAGCAAGACTTAATACTGGGTCAAGATTTTGTGAAGGTACTACCCTATAGGCAGGAGGATTGGGAAAGAAAAATGGACAAACGTAAACGAAGGAGTAAGTAGGCTACTTAAGAGACATGAAAACCAGTTTAAAACATTATCCACGTTACAGGTTTTAAATTTAGTATTATGCTACAGTTTGCCTACAGTAGTTCGTGCATAATTGAGCCTGCACGCACTGGAAGTGAGCTGACCTCACACACCTCTCTAAAGCATTTAGCTTTTTAATAATTGAATTTTCCTTTGGGTTATCATCCTCATTATCAATGTAACCAATGCACACAGCTTCAAGAGGGATTCATAGCAAATAAACACAAGGCAGCAATGAAGATACTAGCCGGGGTGCAGTAACTCACAAGTATGAAGACAGTGCTGTAGGACCCTCTTACCAAAACCAAAAGCTGTTTTTGAAATGACCACAGTAGACATCTTTACTTCCAATTGGTTGATTTACTCATAGTGATGCACAAAGAGTCAATTTATATTTTCCCTCGGTTTTCAGCATAAGGCAGAATTGAGGCGAATGTATTTGTCAGTTCCCAATTTCCCCTACAAAGACATTTGCGCAGCAGCATGGTGTGGTGCTGAGAATTGTGTCACTGTAACCACGTTATTTTTTAAGTTAAAATGTTAACTATCTGTGTGGATATAAAGGTCGGGATGACAATGTGTACGTGTAATACAGGTATAGTCACAAAGACATCAAGGAGAAACAAATAAAAAGAAGAGAGACAATGTTAAAACTGGAGATCTGACTGGAATTTCTATGGGATAATTTCTACTTATTTAAGTTTATAGTAAGGAGTACAAATGTAATTTGTGGTATTCTAAAATTAAAGAATATTATTTATTAAAAACTTGCAGTCAATTAAATTGTCAAATTTGATATTCAAGTACGTAATAGCTTCCTTATTTTTCATTATTTATAAAGCTTTTTAGCATAAATAAAACTATAAATATTTATACTTAAATTGATTATAATAAAAGTGGGAGACTAGACATTTTTATGGCATCTATTCTATAAAAATGGTCTCATCTTCCTGCCTCCCTTGCCCAAACATCTATACCACCATCTAAGAGAGTTTCCTGGCTATTTCTTTATGTCAGGTATAGCTCAATATGAGCCAACATAAAAATTGTGTTAACGAGTTTAGCTCTTTTAAAAGCTGTTCACTAACACTGCTTGAGAGAAACATGCTAGGTAGAAAAAAGTGATAGGTACTTCCGTGGAAGACAGAAACATATTGGAAAACTCAAGAGGGAAGACACAGAAAGCTTTGGAGCCATGAATTGTTAGCCCATGGCACAGGCTTTCCTTGGTGCTGACACACTCTTCAGACAAGGCTATATATGAACACAGGGGCTCAGCCAAGGATTCTATCCTCCAGGTGGCACAGGACCCCTGGAGAAGATGTCTTCCCAAGGTCTTCTAAACAGGTAATGCTTACAGTGAGCGGCAGGGACTGAATGGAATGGGAACAGAACACTTGAGAATCTGGGCTGTAGAGGGTAGGGGACAGAGAGAGGAAGATGCCAGCGGAGGGCCTCAAAGTTTTCTCGGGATCCAGTAAAATTAAAACGGCCCTACATTTATATTCTAGGCTAAAAAATAAAATCAACAACAATGAAAATATTATTTCTAACATATTAAAGGGTTGAATATCATTTTGTTATATAAATGGGTCCTACATTATACCTGGTCTGTATAATTATTCTGCTTAATTTTGAAGAGTAAAGTAAAATAAAAATTTTTAATGTGTAGTTAAAATTGAAACAAGTAAACAATAGTGAACTTAATCAAATATTTATATATACTAGACTTTTAAGTAAGGTAAAGGGTGTGAAATAGGTGTGGAGTTCAGTGATTGGTAAAGCTGGCTCTGTTTCCTGAAATTCTTTTTAAGGTAAGTATATAGCTAACTCATAGCTACTGAGAAATTCCCCCAAGAGCCATGTAACGTGGTGATAAATTGCTGGACGTCACTAGGCCCCAAATTCCTCACTAGTAACATAGAAAATCCAAGTCAGACTTTGGGTCTGAGAAAAAAAGAAGAAAAGATGTCTGTAGTGTTTGGCAAGCACAAAAAGGAGTCATCACTCAACCAATGGTGGCTCTTTGGAACAAAACGTGGAAAATAAATAGGGCTGTGGGGCTGGAAAGCATGTGCCCTAACTATTTCTGGATACTACATTTCCCCCTGCAGTCAGGAGCTTGGAATCTCTAGTGTAAATACTAGCATACCGTGAGGCATATAATCAATATGTGTTGTCTGAAAAGAAGCCAAGATGGATGCAGAGAAAGAGAGGTTGGAGAGCTAAAGAGAAGGATAACTGGATAGACAGACACATGGGTGGATGTAATTGTGAACGGTGGATTAGGTGGATGGATGCTATGTAAATTCTGGTCTGTTCTTAAATATGTGCGTATTTGTCTTTGCTAGCTGACTAGCCTGTCACTCATCTCTGATCCTCTGCCAACAACCTAGTTCCTATGTATGTAGTCAATGGCTCTATGGACTTAGCAAACTGTGCTTCACTACAATTTGAATGAAACAGACTCACACATATCTACAGCTACTGAGAAGCAACCAAACCACAGGGCTTTAAAAATCCCAGCTGTGAAAATGATAGTGTATCTTCTTAATTATTATGCTCTGATTAGGAGAATGTTTCGCTTATATGTAATTCTATTTTATATGCCTAACCTAGACTTCGGGAAATAAGCCTATTTTCTCCAAGATAGTACACATGTGATTGTATACGAGTCTATGGTAAGATCAACTTCCTTCAGTCCTAGCAAGATTTCAGAAAGTACAATTGCCAGCATTTTTCATCTTGTGTGTAAATACACAAACGTCCCCAAATTTGAATAAAGCCACTGTTCATAACAATCTGTGCTGCATTGGTCAGCCCTAAGAAGCAGAGAACCAACCAACCCCATTCACAAACACAACATGATAGACATGGACCTGCAGGAGGCCTTGGACCACCTACCAGGCAATCTAAACAGCAAATAGGCCAGGCTGGGTCTGGCCTCCCAGAGCCTTCCAGACTCCACACTTAGTTCTGTGTCACACACTGTTTTGGTCCCTGTGTGGCTTTTGGGGTATAGGTTTACTTTCCCTATAAAAATTCTTTATTTTCTACCTTTCTGACTAAGGAGTTTGGCAGAAATAAAGATATCATAGGGGCATGTTTCAAGTACACGCAGACATATATGTAAAATAATGAAAGTATTTTTATTTTTAAATCAAGATGGCAGCACTTATCTCTGGTTATTTGGTCAATGACTAACTCAACCTGAGCTTTATGCCCTTCAAATCAGGTTGCAAATATATATTCTTTTATATGCCTGCTATAATAGATTCACATAATGGTATGATGGTAAATATAATATCAAGAATATAATATAAGATCAATGAACATGTTATAGATTAAGGTCATTTAATTTTTATCCTAATCTGGCTGGGCAAACTCCTACTTGAACAAGGCTGTGTCAAGAGTATAGCTACCATTTTATCCCAGAGCATTTTAATGAAACAGTTCAGCTAGCTTATTTATTCAACGTGTGAATAGCCAGTTTTCCAAATGAATTGTACAAAAAGTTTGGTTTCTCAGTAACATCTAATATGAGTAGAATGTATTAATTTGCTAATAGGTCTAAAAGAAAACGATCCCCTTCTTTAATATCACAGGAATGTGATACTATAAATACTGTCACTATAGCACAAGGTGGTAGAGCCATGATGTACATACCTAGCTATTATTTTACTAACTTTTTAATAAACTATTTTATCAAAAGTAGTACATATATATATATATATTCATAGTGTTCTCAAAATAAAGCTATATATAAGAAAAAGAGATTACTGACACTTGGTTAATAAATTTTAAAATATAAAGTGTATAAAAAGTTAAGCAATGTAAAAATAAAAGAATTAAGGATGCTGAAATAGTAAATTTCTAACCAACTAAGTGAGGAATTAGTGTTTTTAACCCTTAAATCTCTCTGAATAAGAGTATGTGGATGTGAGCAAGCAGAAAGGGACCTGAAACCACAGATGCATGACTAAGCACTAAAGAGGAAGACATGGGATGACTAAGCAGTAAATACAAACACCAAGGAAAGTTAGACTTTAATTTCAGCATTGGAACAAGAGTAAATTTAGCAATGCATAATTAATATGAAGAGCACATCTTAAGAGCTCTAGGATGAACACATTCTAACTGTCTCGATGCATTTTGCAAACTACAGGTTGAAGATGTCAAAATTAAGTCATTTCACAAAACTGTGGTGTCTTGAAGGCAAAGGGGCCTTACAGCAGGAGAGCATCATAACACAGCTTGACAAACATACAACAGTGTTGAGGAAAGAGAAAAAAGAGAACATTTCAATTCCAAATATCATAAACACCCAAAAATATATAAACATCTCTGTTTCAGTAAGCTTAAGTTTTCAGTTTCAAAGGAAAGCCAATCATGAAAACTGAGTGTTTCCCCAGATGGCTGCCTTACCTTACACCCTCTCTATGACTTAATGGCTAACCTGGGCTGCAGGGATTAACCTGCTCTAACAGTAGAACCCTGAGCAGGTCATCAGAGATGCATTCCGTAGCCAATCCAAGCCCTTACCTGGTGGGAGGAAGGCGGTATGCTGCTGTAACTGCATGTTGGCTAGGGCCTGTTGGTATTGGAAAATACCAGTGTTAAAGACTGCGGTGGCACCGTTGGTTTTTTCAAGAGCAGGCCTCTTTGGCAATGGGGGAAGTACAGCTTGAGGAATTCCCTGTTTAGTGAATGAGTATAAAAACAAATACCAGTAAAAAGAGAAAAAGAAAAAAAAAAAGAAAAATCAGTTGTAGGCTAAAACTGTTAGGGAGCACGAACAAGCAAGCAGCAGAGCATTTAACTACCCAGGGAAAAATCCAGTCGACAAAACCAATTAAGGAAATTAAGCAAGATAAAAGCTTTAAAGGAAGCATTATTTCATCCACAACGAAAGCCCACTAGTAACGAGAGCAGATGTTATCATGAGTAAGGTGTTTTATGTCCCATAATGCTTCAGGCTTTCCGTGAGAAGCCGTTGATTTGGGAAAGAAGGAAAGCTGCAGTGCGGGCTCCATGAGGACCGAGGAGTGGGAGCACTGTGAGAAGGCCACTGTACAGCGACTGGCCGGGGACACGACATCCTGCCGGCTCTGCCCACCCCAGTCCGCGGACACATGCAAATGTCCCAGAGCATGCAAACTCTCCTCAAATACTGCACTCTACAGGTTAAAAAGTAAGAATTCTACCACTAAAGCCATGCTAACCACACAGGTACAGAAATAAATATACAGTGAAAACCACACTTTTCTGTCCTCCGAGTATTTCATTAGAACGCTTTTACAATGTAGTTAAACTGAATGTGGGCTGCTGGGATTCCAGTCTTTCATTGTACCATAGCCATCTATGTACACATTTTAGGTCTTTCTGCTCATTTTTCAGGAAACCACACTCAGTTTTTCATTGTACTTTACCATTTTAAACAGGAAAAGGATTATATATATTTTAATTGGTTAAAAACAAAAACAAAAACAAACAAAAAAAATTAAAAAACAAAAAACCTTGTATCTACAATAAAGCTACATGCCAAGCTAAAAGGTGAAAGGTCATAGTACCAGGTCAAAGGTTGCCTCGAGGGGTCGCTTCAGTGATTTGACAGCCGACTGAGTCTTAATTAGCAGGCAGCGAGCACATGATGGCAATGGGCCAGTGGGGTTCAAGCGCATTAACATAAACAGCAAGCAGAGGTGCATCATGGGGGCAGCAGTGCATTTTGGGTAGGTGAGAAAAAACAAATAAAAAAACAAATCATCGGAATGCCATATACAACGAATAACAAGACTAAGCATGCACAATAGAGGCACTATTGAGTTGTTATTGGAGGATAATTCCTCTTTGTAGTTAATTACAAACAATACTCTAAAGAAAAAAAAGGGGGTGAAAGAAAGAGAAAAGGAGAGAGTCTGCCTTCTGTATTTTTGCTCAAGTATCCATAAACAAACACAGAAAAGACCTCTCTCATGATCATTTTATGGTGTAGTGACAATGATTTTTATGACTACTTCAATAAGTTATATATTTATATGCAAGAACGGATAACATTAAAACAGCTAAGCCAAGAAATGGACCCCTTAAACTCTGCTACGAGGTCATACTGAAGTTTATCTTAAGAAAAAACATTTAGTATCTATTCTAAATGACCCAATTTTTAACTCTTTGAGTAGCATAGTTTCTTTTTCCTTCATGTATAATGGCTTAGTCAAGATTTGGCTCTTGAACAATCATGTTTATGCCACAGCAGGCCTTCACACTATCTAGATGGCAGGCTATGCAAAATGTTGCAGCTAATTTAAAAACAATTTTGTTGAAGTAATTCTCCTAAATAGTTCCAGATTATGTTACTGAAAGCAAGATAAATGTGAAGAAGAGCTCTGATGTGCAAAAGAACACACCCAAGGAGAACAACGGCTGATCGATGATGTACAGAGGCTGGAGATGGCAGTGCTGTTATGTCGGAAAGGAGACAAGTGGCTCTTTATGAAGCAGGAATGTCAGAAACCCTACAGCCAGAATAAGACAGATCCTTAGGGGTTAGGCCAAGAGGAGGAACAATCTGAACCATCTGAGGAGTTACCCTCACTTCTGTGAAGGGCAGCTTCTTTATGTATTGTGTGGGATACCTGAACAAACATATCTTCAGCAAAACATAACGAAGAGGTTAATAGATGAAGAGCTTGTAGTAGACAAATTGTTCAACATCGTTCTGACTGCAGACAAGGAGGGCACTGCTGCCTCTACTCACCATGGCGGCTGCAGTGGCGGCAGCCTGAGCGGCTGCAGCCTGGTTGACCTGGTACTGGGCAGCCTTGATCTTGGCTTGCAGGTGTGCAGGAGGGTGAAAGTATTTGCACTTTTCCCGAGAGCATCTCCCTTTGATGTAGTCCATGCAGACGGTGACCGTGTTGTCATTGGTGTCGATCATTGCACTATCGGCAGGGTGAGCAAACCGACAGTCATTCTCTCCTCGGTTGCAATTGCCTCGCTGGTACTCTCGACACACCTAGGAGGTCATGAAATGAACGGGATTCAGTCAAGGGGAGCAAGCAGGTCCGCTCTGAAGATGATGATTCAATGATCCAAACTGGGGGCCGAGGGTGTATATGGAGGGGGAAAGGTAAACCCAGAGCAACGCAGCAGCATGATTCGGCAGCGCTTAGTGTGCAAAAACAGAATCTTTCCAGAGAAATGTCCTTGAGAAAGGAAACACGTTCATGATGAATGGAAAGTATCTATCCCAGCACAGTGTTGCTGCACTTATTCATTACCAAGGGGAAAATACGGGCTTTATAGTGACGAAAGCCAGCAAATACCACTTTCACCAGGTGAACACATGAATATTAAGAAAGAATGAGACATATGAACACCATTCTATCAATGTGACTCCCCCCCCAAAACAGCCATATCACACATGTTTTTTTTAAATCACTGCTGATTGATAAATACTAGACACACTGAATGGAAGCATTTTGCAAAAATAACTAAACATTCTTTCAAAGTGTTAAGGTTGTTAAAAATAAGAAAGATTAAGAAGCTCTCATGGACTGGATATCATGGAGTCAGAGCAAGGATGCAGGCAGGACAGCTGCTTACGTCTGACACAGGAACCGGTGAGAGATACCCCACCTGACAATTTACGCTTGATCCCTGGAACCTACAGGGTAAAGGAGAGAAATGACCCCTGAAAACCGCTCTTTGATCTCAACATACACTCTCTGGCATGTAGGTGACCAGACACATATATGGAAAAATAAATAAAAGCAATAACATTTTAAATTAAATCTGATTCAGGTATACAGGTCACTTAATTCACAGTAAACCAAAGTTAAACTATGAGATTTGTAAGTGGTACTGGAGTTGTTTAAAATGTTAAAATATTTAGTTTAGTGAATGTCAGGCAGCAAGAATTTGGGTAAACAGACATTAGCTCTAAGTGAAAACACCAAACACTCTAACTTGAGGGCATTTCTCCCAGAATGTTTCCAGCAGTCACTCTGAGCAGCAGAAATGCATTCCACATCAGTATGAGCGGAGGGAGGAAGATTCACTTGTGTTACTGCCTACTTGTTTTATGGCCGTTAACTTCAGTGTGGGGATCCTGGGGAAGAGGTAAAATAGATTATTTCTCATTCACTTGCTCTTTGAGTCTTATTGAGGTTCCCAACAGTCTCCCTTGGGGGTTTGATCTTTTGGCCAACAGAGGGCCATCTAAAACACTGAAAGACTTGACCTTATTGTGTGCCCTAGTTTCAAACCTCTGTATTTGTTTTTTAAACAATGCACACTTCAAAGACAGTTTTCATACTTCCAGCATGCCCCCTCCCCGAAGTGGGCAAATGCAGACACTGCTGAACGCTCTGTTTTGTAGTTAAACAGGACTGAGATGCTGTGACTTTAAAGGGACTCATAAAACGACTGCATTTAAACCAGTCCCTATTATGTTAATATCCTATTAGGATGGAAGGCGGTTCACATTAAGAACCTGGGTTTGGCTACATATTAAGAAGCATGCTGTACATGGCTCCCGAGAAACTCTCAGCTAGTAAAAGACGTGGGTTCTACAGCACAGCAATGGCCTACCTCCATTCACCTTCTTACTTTATTCAATTTTTAAGTACATTGAGTAACTAAGGATACAGATGATTTAGGAAGTTACGATAGGCTGTTTTAGTAATATATTCACCTTCTCGAACAGAACAAAGGAAACTCAAGTGTAACCACGAGTTTACAAGCTGTGTACCAAGCTGTATCTCAGGGCACTCCCCTTCTCTAGCGGACCACAAGGACAACAAAAGGAAGTGAAGGGGCCTTCGGAGCACAGGTTCCTGGAGCCTGTTAAAAACTACAAGCTTATCACTGAAGCCAGGAAAAGAGATACTCTGAAAAAAAAATGCACTACAATGTAGTAAGTGAGCCTGCACATAGAATACATATTCTGTTTTATGTTTATAATGTCATGTTATGAAGAACAAAGGTCACTTTTGTGCTGAGGCAATTCATCCAAGAGGAAACTTAGATTGGTCCATATGTGCTCTCTTCAGCTAGTTCTCAATAATTTCCTCTTTCCCAAGTCTGCCTAGGAGAGAACTGAAGGCAAAGACCGGACACTATGTTTCACGTTTGCCACACTGGTAGGAAGGTCAGTTCCGTTTGTGCAGTATGGTTTCTATAGGTTAAAGACTGCTTGACTATTAATTTTATACTTCAATTTTTGTGAATGCAAGCAGGGAGAGTTGTACAAACGCTTAATCGGACGTGATGACTAGGCATCAGCAGAGATTTACAGTAAATTTTAAAGTTTTTAAAACCAAAGGTTCTTTTCTGCTGCATTTTGGACTACACATGTTTTTCCAGTGTTCTGTTCTGACCGGGATGGGGACGGGGCGTGGAAGAACACATAAACTGCTACCCTCATGTTAGTTTGCGGTTCAGGGGAACAGTGAAGGAGAAACCTTGTGAGGGTTGGGCTGCTGAGAGACCGTGGGGAAGGTTTGGCAGATAGACGGACTCAGGAATGCTGGGCACTGAACGTGGACAACATTAAAACATATTTTCTCCTGACAGTCACCACCAGTAAAATGAGGTCTAGTGATGACTGCTGAATATGGGTTTGGTTTGTTCCTTTTTCTGAAAAGTGGAGAAAACTTCTGACTAGGTTTACCAACCTCATTAAAGCAAAACTTTTAGATGTAGTTTATCTTGGTAAACTAATGTTGACAAAATTTGCAACATATTTAATCTCATATTCCAAAACAGGATGACAACTTACAAAATTTACCAGCAAATTAGCAGCAGAGAAGACAAAATTAAATAAAAAATATCCAAGCAATATTCTGACTCCATTTTCCTTCTCTGTAATTTCCTGTTTGCACATATTTTATATGAGTATGATCACAGTTTAGCAACAACTTGGCTACCTTTTTCGAAAAACAAAGCCTTAACATTATCAACATTTTTTATCTTTCTATATGAGATTCAAGTCATCATTTCTGATTGCACATCAGATATTAAATAGTGCACAGACTATGGGTGACTCTTAAGTGGATATATAGATTATTTCCATCATTTTCATATTACAAATGATTTTGCAAAGGAAATACAACAATAGGCACTTTGGCATTTTGGCTAATTTTCTAACATGAATATGTACAAATGAAATTTGTTGGTAAAAAATTTTGGGTATTGATAAATGTTCTCAAACCTAAATTAAAATGACGAGATATACTAAGCCATACACAAAATAGGATTCAATCAAAAATGAACACTGAGTTTCTTACTCTGTGAACATCAAAGCAGAGCTGATATCGGAAGCCAGGTTTGTCTACACAGTGTAACAGGAAACGGATAACGCAGGAAAAGCAGCACTTCAACTGCAATATTCACCAAAACCATTCTAAATCCTATTTCTAACAAAACTTCTGTAGGATAATAATAAATGATGGAGGAGGGTTAACTGTCTGTGTTACTTTCATTGGTTAATAAAAAACCTAAAATAGTCAACAGGAAAAAATAGCCAGAAAAAAAATCCAAAGAAAAGTCTTAATAAGTCTTTGAACTACGCAGCCCCCGAGGCGTGTTTGGTTACTACTGTGTGGTAGGAGCTCCTTACTGTCACTGTGCCTACAGTGCTTCAGTATGCTGCGAGCAATGCTCACTGCAGTTTCGCAGTCTGTACAGAACTATGAGCACTGGAAGTACATCTTCAGTTCAGAGTCACGAATAATAACACCTGACGGAGTGCAAAGTTGGCAGTTACATAACAAGTGTTCTGAAGGCTAGTCGGTTGTCTGATGCGTGAAAAGATTCCTGAGACCCACAACTGGACCAGCATATCTACATGGATGAGACTGCCAGATTTAAACTACCACCCGGAGTGATCCTAGTCTCTGTTAAGTCGGGACACAAACTGCACCATGTCTAATAGCAAACCAAGACAACATGCTTTCTAATTGGAATGGTCAAAACCTAGATGTGTCCCCTCAAAATGATCAACAAATATTTAAACTTTTCCTCAAAGTTGTTATGTCTAATCACCTGTCTTGGATAAGATCTCTGTAAGGAAATGTGTCTTCCTGTGACGAGTTAATTTCCTAGCAGGTTGGCGAGTTCTTACTTACAGGGCAGAGGTTACATGAGCAGTACCAGTCTCCTGAGGGTCCTTTCTTGGTAACAGACAGCAAGGAAAGGCTTCACAGGTATCCAAAACACACCATTAACTTGAAGGACACCTGGCACAGTTCCCCACTGGATATGGTAGCATAAATGCATCTGAGGATCCATTTTTGCACCATGAAAGATTACTATGATTCTTTAGACTAAATCAATGATTTCCATTATTATCAATGCTTTGTAATGAAGTATAGACATGATCTTAAGTCTTAGCCATTTCTAATACCTGTACACACTGTAATAATTTCTTAAAATACTCTTTAAGCATTAAAATGATGCTGGGAATTACAGAAAGGGTCCCAAGGCCACAAAGCAGAACTTTAGGAGCATATTTTTAGTGACTAACAAACTGGCCTCACTTTAAGAGAAAACCATAACCTCAGCTTATAGTACAAAACATATAATCTGTGTAAAAATATCCAGCAAAGAATGGATGAGCATATTGATACAAATGCTATGTCCCTGTGATGTGTACATAACACACACACACACACACATACTTAAAAATAAATGTTTTAATACCTCCTTTGGTTGCTGTCGAAAGACAAAGAATGATGTAAATGTGCTGTGACATTAAAGATAAACCAGTGCAATCCTCAAATTTTACATATAAACAACATGAAGTCAATGTGACAAAGCAAGTTTAAGTAGCAACTACCCTACAAGCAGTGATCACTGGGTTCCTATTTCCCGCCTTCAGACCTCTGCATCCAATCTGGTCAACACTAGTACTTCCAAGTGATTGATATACAAACCAGAAGCATTTGAAATCTCTTTATTGTGTGCCAATTATAGGAGGAAAAGATGTAGCAAGAAGAACTAAGTCAAGATCCTGTTTTAGACCAATTTTACCTCAGAAGGAAATAAAAACTCAAAATATTTTAGGGTAGAACACAACTTTAATCTCTAAGTAATCACTGTTGTCAACCGTGAGAAGAGAGTTGTGGACACTCCTTCCATGTCTTTCTCCCTGCAGTGTTCCAGCACTGGAGGTGCTGGGAACCCTGAATCACTGCAGAGCAGAGGTGCATGCATGTCTCCCACTGCAGGTCCTGTGACTGTGACAATGACTCAGATGCTGACAACAGAAGGGACAGCACGCTCACTGCTATCAGGAACACCGTATGCAGGAGGAGAGATTGTTGTAGCCGGAGCAAAGGCAAATGGCACAACACAAGCAGCTCTTCATGGGGAGGAAAACTAAATCACAAAATACAACTACAGAAAAACGACTACAAATTTGAGGGAAAAAACAGAGTTTGAAAATGTAGCTGAGTCTTTTTAAGTCCATTCTTTCAGTGTTTTGAATATTATTACATATTAATAATTAATACACTGACATTCCTCTCAGACGATTTGGGTCCCATTAGTCAATAACAATCATGCATTAAGAATCCTGGGTTGCTTTACAAAGACCAGGGGAATAAAACTGATCCAAATGCTGTTCTATTGCCCTTGCAGACAGCATTAATAAGAGAACCGCTGCACTTGTGTAATGAGAAGCCAAACACGAGAGTGTATCCCTACGGCAAGGACAGGCTACGTCACAACTCTTTCCCACCCAGACTTCCCTAACAAACAATGGTAATGACAGTGTCTTCCCATCACGTTGTTCTAAGGCTAGAAGGAGCTATGTCTGTGTCAAGGGGGACATCCAGACAAAAATGCTGCAATCTCATACTCATTCTAATACATCCCAAAAGCTTTAACGAATAAGTAAGATATTAACAATTACTATACTTCTGATAACTTCACTAGTTATTAGACTCAACTGCCTTCACGTACACCTTCCTTTGTTGCTTTCTCCTTAATAAGTCCACACAGGACTTCTCAGCCCAGAGTCCCCTCTATGCAGACAGGGAGGGAAGGCTGTTGGATGTATATCTGTGCCTTACTCAGAGGCCATTTTCCTACAGTTTACCAAGCCTGTAAATTCATGACATGCTGAAACTCTGCATGATAATTTCAAATTTGGATGTATAACTTTAATTTCCTTTTCAGTCAGCAACAGCACAGCCCGAGCATCTGTTCATGTTCCAACCCAAGACTATGACAGCCAAGTGACGTTCTCCTAAAATGCTTTCATAAGGGCACATTCCACAAAACTGCCTTACTGTCTCAACGGATGTACTCCAGAGCTTATGGGAACATCTGCAGTGAGTTTTAGGATGTTTCATGTACGGTAGCCAACGCATTCCATGTGCGTGAGATCATGAGGATGTCAATCATTTGCAATTTTTGATTGCTACAACGCCAGAGCAATAAACATTCAAGAAGCAACTGTTTAGTGCCAAACTTTTTTTTTAAAAATATTCTCTGAGGTATGTGCATTACTAGCAACATGTGAAATATTTCAAAGAAGCTGATGGCATAGTGAAGTAACAGGCACCCGAAGCCCAGTTCCAGTCCTTCACTTAGTAGCCTAAACACGGAAGTGTAGCTTTTATAAAATTCCACTACTCAAAAGAGCAGGACTCCAGTCTAACGAAATGCTACAAATATCGAAGAAAAATCATTGCTTTCAACGTTTAAAGTCATTCCGGCCATAATACTTAAGAACTGTCATGGAAACTACGCAGACGCAATTCTTGGTCTTACCTCGAGTCTATCTGTCCGCATTAACTTCTGTGCAGCAGCTGCAGCAGCAGCTGGCACTGGAACTCCAGGATTCCCCGTGACCAACATTGGTGCAGTAGGCAAGATTTCTGCTGGAACCAGGCTTGGGGAAACAGGCCCCAGGTAGGGATTAAAGGCTGCTGATGCATTGGTGGCTAAGCTTGGTGCAACTGAAAACATTGGCTGAAAAGTAAAACAGAAAGCGAACTTTAATTGCAGGCCTCACTTCCAAGTTGATACCCTACTTCAAACAGCTATCATTTATTCTTCATATGTGACTCACTCTTCCTTCCTTCACTTCTGCTTAATTCTGTTTGGAATTTAGTCTAAAAGGTTTTAGAAAAGAGACATTTGCTAGGTCATGTTTTTCCTAAAATCTAGCAGATGAACTTCCAGAGGGTTTCAGAAGGTTTGCATCTAAAATTGGGGTTTCGTCCTGAATATAACAGGGCAGACACTTGCTTGTGGTCACCCAGCTTCCACCTTTGTCCTAACTCATTCCTAGAAACTTGTCTGAAATATACATTTTGTATCTACAGATACACTCGAAAGGTCTGTTCACAAGTGTTAACAGATACAAGGGCCCTATCATCTGGAGCAGGCACAGGAGTCCTAGGGGATCACTGAGTCCCCTGGACATGCACAGTTAGCACATCTTGTGGGCTGTGAGAGGCAAAGATTACACTGTCTTTTGAGTGTAGAGAAGATAGCATTTGACCTGGCTACTTGATATGGGTTTCTCAGAAGCAATGGTCAAGATTCTATGAGCCCACCACATCTTTGGAAGGCATTCGGCAATGGGATAAGCCTCACTAGAAAGAGAAAAGTCTAGAATGTGACTGTTGTAAAATAGAACACTTCCCAGGAAATGCCACAAAATTATTCAAGAATTACACCTGGCAGCAAAGGATGGGCTGTCAGCAGACAGGATTTATGACGGAAATACTTCGATAGATGAAGACTTATGTTACTTTTTGATATGCAAATCAGAATGCCACAGAATAGATCTAATCTTGAATAGTCTGCTGAAATCTATTTTAAAAGTTAGTCCAGGGTAACAAGACACAATTTAAAGTTTTACTGATTATAGATTTTCAAAAATTTTAAGTTTTAAAGTTTAGTGCTTTGTGTAAAAATTATTCTCTCTCTGTATGTTTGTGTGTCTGTGCATGTATGTATGTATATATCTTTAAGGTTTTTTCTCTCTCTCTCTCATGGAAAAATGGTACCTGTACTTAAAGGTAATTTTTTTTTAACATTTTAGTTTCTTTTTCTGATAGTAAGAAATAGATCCACGAAGCAGTTTTATACTAAGGCGATATTAGATGAAGTGCTGCCAATTTGTCTCTCTGATAAGGCGTTAGAAGATGCTAGCGTATAGGAAAGACTCCAGAAAGCTTTGCAATAAAACTTTATGCAACATAAGATACACAAGTTATTACTATAACATGAAATCAAACTAAATAAAATGTCATTTCCATAATATTGCTATGACATCGTGCATGCAGAGGAATAAAACAGGGTTAATTTAGACCCTTCTACACAAAGCAGTCGTTTTCATTCTGGGTGACTACCTCTCTGGAGACATGTGGCAATATCTGTGGACATTTGTCACACAGGGGTGGTGCTACTGCATTTAATAGAGAAAAGCCAGGTATGCGAAAAGTGTAAATGACATTCTTTCATAAGAAAGTGTTAGGTCCCAAAAGTCTTCTGCATTAGGGTTGAGCATGCATCCTACATGATAGCTGTGCACTGCACACACATTTGTGCTAGGAAGACTATGAACAATAGAATATTTAATGTGCACTTTGATTCACTGGGAAGAATTTATTTATAGCGTAGCTCACAGTGATATTTTCAAGCTAAAATACCTAGTCCTCCAAGCACGTGATTCTGAATACCAAGCTTAGCTACTTTGACAGGTGCATGATTCTTGAAAGATGAAGTAGTCTAAAACAAGACTTTCACCTCTACCCCCAACCCAGTCCAAAGCAGCTATCCTCAGGTTATAAGGAACTGTTCATGTGTTACACTATTAAAAACAATTATCCATATCTAAAACTGGGCCCTGGGGCTTCTGGCTTTCAGCAGTTCCTAGACTAGCAGTTGACTGCAGGATGCCTCTTTGTGTCCTGGAGGCCAGGTCAGCACCATGAAAGGGGCAGTCCTGCATGGTGATCATACATTATATTTCAACATCTGTCCAGGAATATACTAGTCAAATCTGTACTCTGTTCTACACAGTTAGATATAATACATGCAAAGCCATTAAGACCAGTGCTGTAACTAGATAAAAGAATTATTAGAAATTTAGCAGAGATCTAAAAGACTGGGAGCTAGTTAATATTCTTCTCTCTGCATTCCATTTCTGTGAATTAAAATGGGTTTCCAGAAAGTCCATTTATTACCTATTTCAGAAAGTTACTGAAATGTTTATGTCATTGTAGACTATAATAATTACTTTCAGGCAAAAGTTGAATTTATAAAGTCATTCGGATGAAGAGATATATTCTGACTTGACAAAACAACAGTAGGCCAATAAAACTCAGGCGCGTTAAATATCATCAAATAAAATACAGTGAAAACCAATATACGGATAAAATGTAGCTGTTACAAAACATGAGCACCTTGTGTTTGGGGCTGGTTACTGTTAGCCCCTAATCTTAGGAAATTGCACTTGTGACCACGGCCACTCCTGCATTCCCAGAGCTGTCCTGCAGAGGGCTCAGAAGATCTGAAAGATGGTAACAGATACACTGATATTTGAAGTAGCCCTTATTTTCTCTCAAGTACTAACTGGATAATGTCTAATTCTGTAACTGGTGTAACTGATACTGAGTACATCCCTGTAACAATGACTAATAGATATATTTGTTCCAAGGACACATAAAGGACATTGGTTTATGGTTGCCTTTTGCCAGGGCATTTTCCAGTGAGACAAACAAATTGCACATTTACTAACTGCAGGGATGTTTATTTACCACTTGTTTTTGTTTTAAATGCTTACATTAAGCTAATCATGCTTCATTATAACTGAATACATTATTCAATCTCATATTACAACCCTAGTTAACGACACAAACATGATTATTACTAGTAATTCCCTATCTGTGGCTTGTATGCTTTACTTATATTTTTCTAATAAGGCTTTTCTTCCTTTAAACTTTCTTTGGGGAGGGTTGGGAGAGTAGGAAGATATCTTTTAGCTCCCTTCTAAGTCCCCAGAACACAGAACAATGCCTGGCCTACAGGAGGCATTCCATGAATGAATTGCCACTTTGTTGGGGGACATCCTTATGTCTGTTTTCCAAATAAAATGCTCATGGATGCTATGTGCCCATCATTTGTAAAGGAATGAATGGAAGGTCAGGGACTGAACACATCTGAGTCTAATTTCAATCTGGTTTGAAATCTGGTTCTCACATAATGACCAAGTGTGAATTACAATTATCTGGAAGACTTTGAAATTGTGATTTCTTAGGCCACTCCTCCTTGTCTGAATTTCAAGGAAAGGTATCTAGGAAGCAGTTTTTTTTTTTAAAGCTTCTATGTGATTTTATTCCCAGGCACTTAAAGAAACGGGTTCCATTTCTGATTGGACATGAGGTTTCTAAGGAAACAAGTTCCTTCGTGGTTCTCGTTTGCTGAGTATGGGTTTCAGGCAACACTGACTGCTCCCAGCCCACCTGTCTAACTCCTAGATATGCTTCAGGAGTCAGAATACTCTTTAAGTATCCCCACAGTGAGTCCACGCCACAACTGTCTGTTTCATAGAACTCCCTCTCACTTGAATGTAGCTCTGACCCCTAAAAGCCATCTGTGTTTCTGCTGTTCCTACCAAGCTGCAGATTCCCCAAAAGCGGTGCCTGCTTTGTACCTGTCATTCTGTATCCAACCAGCAACTGGCATTGCACGCGCCTGTGACTATTGTATAACACAGCCATTACAGATTTGCTAATTGCTTTTCTTTGCCAGAGAAAGTATCAAACACATGATATATTTTCTAGCATAGATATCAAGATGCTAAGAGATATAATTATATATTCCTTTCCACTTCAGTGTTTAGCTGTTTTTTTATAATGACTATTTAAAATCTTAACTTTTTTGTTTTCTAATTTTTATATTAAATGTTACATTTTAAGTATTATAATTACTATTCTGTATCATTGCAAACAACACAGGGTTGTTCATTTTAAAACACTGAAATAGTATTTGTTTTTATACAATGAAAGGGTCATATATAATAATAAAAATATTACTTTGAGATTATGGAACAGGAATTTTACAAGTTATATTTTTCTAAAATGTGTGCATGTGTACCTGTGCAAGCTCAATAGAACGTATGCATGGGTACCTGTGTATGCTCAGTAGAACATGTATATGTGTATCTGTGTATGCTTAGTAGGGTATGTACATGCCTACCTGTGCATGCTCAGTAGAAAGTGTTCATGTGTACTTGTGTATGATTAGTAGAATGTGTACATGTGTACCTGTGTGTGCTTCAGTCAAACATGAAAGCAGAAAAAACAAAGCTCTCTTAAAATAGTTTCAAGAAAGCCTTAATGTGGGCAACTGCTTTTAGGGAAGCATCATTTTGTAGTCAGAGGCAGAGCTAGTATTCGTGGGTTTGAATATAGACAGCATTCAAAGCTAACAAGAATTATCCATAAATTCACATTCAAGTCTTTGTCTAAAAACGTAGCATGTGACTTGAGTAAAACAAAGGTTCTTGTGGCCTCTGCTCCCTGACTGGCTTGGGAATGGGAGGAGGAAGAGGGATGCTTGCTTTTTCTGCTTCACTGTCTCCACTGATCCAGTTTCACTGAAACAAACATTTCAATAGTGCAGTCTCGCCTGAGACTCTTTCAGTAAAAAGGTTTCAAACGAACATAGGTCTATTCTGAGAGTTCAGGTCCTGATCTCAGGCTGCTTGAGAATTCACAGACTCACTGGTGCACAGCCGGACTGATGAGTGTATCAATGTAACTGATGAAGAAGCATTTTTTTTTTCTAGAGACACTATAGGATGAACTGGCCTTATCTCCTGACGGTGAGTAAGCAAGACAGTAAAGCACTGAAAACTAGATTTCGAGGTGTTCCTGGCAGTGTGACAAATGATGCCTTCAAAGCATTCTGCACCCCACTGCTATGCAACACTAGGAACATGGAAGGGTGGCAAAGTCAAGGGGACAAGAGAAGCAACGCAGCTGGAGACACGAGCTGAATTTGACAACTCTGAATTGCTCACATACATGTCAGAGTCACTGAATGCCTGGGGAATCCCTACACAGGCTACGTGTCTCTAGGTGCTGTCTGGGCCACAGGAACAGCTGCTTCCTGAAGCTGTAGTTACTGCTAGCCCAGGTCCCAAGGAAAGCGGGTGAGGGAACATTAATGAAACTCCGGAGCTCATGTCCAGTTCTCGGCACCCACTGATCACACAGATCTCTCTGCACTGCAGAGGGCATGGAGCTGATCCTGGGGCCTAAGACACATACTAGGTGCTGCTTCCAGGTTGGCAGCCGGGAGAGGAAGTTCAGGGTCGCTAGACGGTAGTACGCCAGTTTCTCATTACACCCCAACCTCCAGCCATGATGTAGCACTTGCGAAGGAACATGGAAGGTTTTTCCTTTTTTTTTTTTTTCCTTTTTCTTTTGGAAACTAAGTGCTATAACCTCACCTCTCTTCAAAGATCATATATTATAAAAAATTAAAATAATTTATATTTTTATTAGAAAATCTAACGCCAAGTAGAGTTAATCTCCCGAAGACTATAATTCATTGTGTAAACTTTCAAGGAAGTAGGCATACAGAAAACTACACTTCTTATAATCAACCCCAGTTTTTTACTAGTTGTGTACAATGGGAATGATGTTTATACGATATAGAGACTTTCTTGATTGATAATTTATTTAATAGTCTATCTCCATGTTGAACATCAAAGAGCTCAAACAGTGAGATCTAGAGTAGCCAGACAGTCTGCTCCTTGGACGCTTTGACCACATGAGTTCTGTATCTAGCAAGGCTTGGTAAACATCTTGACTTTGCTATTGACAAGCTGCGTGACCTGAGCAGCGCAGGCAACCTCTCTGAGCCTCTGGACCTCAATCTCTAGCCCTGAGATACTATTACCTACGTCACAGGAAAGGTATGAAAATGATATATGCACTAGATGCCCTCCAACTATTATATTTGTCTCTAAAATGTTATTTAATTGATATACTGCATGACAATCTAATGAAAGCAGAGAAGTCTCCTATAAATTCTTGCATTAACCAGGTTATCAGCACCATGTCATGGTCTAATGGTTCAGTGACTGTTGCCCTAACAGTCACCTCTCCTGCCTTGGAAACACTGCCGACAAGTGCTGACCACTGAGGCCCATCTGAGGCTGCCATGTCTGGCCTGTGCTCTGGCTCTGAGTTATAGCTCCTTCCATCTTCAGGGCAGAGAAACCACTATGAGTCTGTGTCTGGATTACAGATGACCAGGCCACTCCTTGCTTCTACTTCTATCTATCAGTTATGGAGCTCTTCTCAATCCGAGGCATAATACTGGATGTTTCTAAGTTTCCTCTCATTTTGCCACATCTGCTATCCCCTTCTTGTTCCTCATACTAAGTTTGGGGATTAATTTGTTGAGCACTGAGGACTAGAACATTGTCTCCTGCTTGATTGCAATCTTTGTCTCTCCTCATAGGCTTTTGGTACCCTAATGCTCCGATGCCATGGCTCCGTTCACAGAATTCCCACTTTCACACCGCCACTGCCTGATCTTGTGACCACACATCCTCAGACTCTTTGGAGTGTGTTCAGAGCCACAGTCTATGTTAGAGACAGGGCAGCCTAGAGCTTAGTTGCACTCGATAGGTAGCCAAAATTAAAATTTCAGAAAGCAGTTGGTTACGGCCATCCCATTTATTTCTGTATCATTATCCTCATCAAAACAAGGCTGACCATGAAGGGGATCAAACAGTCTCAGTGGGGTTTTGAAGGCAAATTTCCTGCATTAAATCCTTCTCTACAGTCATTATAGTAAAAATGCTTTAGGTTTGAATAATTAAAATGATTTCAATGCTTATTATAATAACACCATCCTGAATAGAGACTTTTCATCTATAGTTTCACAATACTTTTGCAAAGGGTAATTTTCACTGAAATATAATGATGTGAGGGGAAATTAACATAAGGCCTGTGCTCATAACTAATACAGATAATTACTTTATCTAAGCATAAAATTTTCTAAGAAAAGTACCATAAATCTGATGGTTTCAGAAATCTATGATTTAGTGACTATGTAAACACATATGTCACTAGCATTTCAGAGAATAAAGGTCTTTGGAGTTTGTCCCAGATCTAAGCATATATGACCTTGAATCAGCCATGAGAGTAAGACTTAAGGACAAGGTCAGGACATGGCCTGAGACATCACAGAAAGCATCTCAGGGCCATAGTGGGCATAGTCTCTTCCATCCCAGACCTATGCCTGCCCATCCCAGAGGTGTTCTGGGTCACAGAGAGCACAGAACAACAGTTAATATGATTTACAAGTTTAAGTGGAAAAAAGAACCTCATATCAGTCAGAAGCAACCTTATACCCTAAAGCAGAAACTGCCCTAGATCTTTGAAACCATACATGAGAACCAAGCTCAAGAAAGTTTTTTTTTTTGTCCTATATTTTCTGGAAGAAAGAATGATTGGTTATTCAAAACATTTTTAACAAATTGAAAATATTTATGCTATCACCACATAGACATATAAAATTAGGAGAGTTATAAAAATAAAGATATCACATTTTAACTGAGCCCCCAATAATGTAATAAAATAAAAATCAGATTAAAATGATAGAGAATTAATTATAATATTCTCTCACCTCGACTGTACAGTACTGATAATTGGTATCACTGCCGGTGTAATATGGGGATCCCTCCCACCTCGAAATGCAATCCCCCCCTCTTTTTTGGAATGACTGTTGCATTAAGTTCTAAGAGAGAATAATAATTACATTGAGTTCAGGTGTTAAAATGTATTAGGAAAAAAATCAGTTAGCACGCATGCTACAATTAACGAACTAGAAGAACGTGTTTTCATGACCTTATAATAAGTTAATAATACGTTAGTGATAAATTACTGTCAGATATATTCTGATCTCTATAAATTTCATCACATACGTAAGCAATTTAGGATTTCTGTACAGTAATTAACATAAACACCATTTTAAACAAACAATAACTATGACAATAAGATTATTAAATTCATTTACCACATGCACATCAACAATCTAAACATTTAGACAGCAATGTGTGTTCATAAGCAAGTTACCCATGCACACAGCTAGGAAAATATTAAATATCTATGATCACTCATAGCTTATCAAATTTAGCTATTTTCAAAGGCCCTTGGAGTTCTGTCTTGGATTAGTTCTCTTTGGAGCAGGCGTCCAAGCCTGTGGTTATGACTCACCACGGAGAAAAATTGCCTAGCCTTTGTGAATACAAAGTAATTTCAAGTTAAGGTTTTCACAAAGTCTCTTTTTGGAGAAAGAAAAACGACAGGGATTCTCTTCAATGAGGGAAGAAAAGGAGAAAGAGCCTCAAAACCAACAACTATTATATATCTATCTTCTTTTGGTTTTAAATAAAACATCATTATTACCTTTAAAGGCAATGCAAAATACATCTTTCCTAAACTGACTTTGATGATTATTTTAACAAATACCTGCAAGTTAAATGATTAATTTTGAAAAGAGTGTTAGGGGAAGCAATGCTAGCCTTTAAATTGCCAAAGACCTTTGGCACGAAGCTAAGTAACTTTACAGGGTGAAAATACCAGGCAATGGCCACTGCCGCCTGTGTTCACATACAGTCACTGCTTCTGCACATACATGGAGTACTTGGCCACACAGACAGGGATGGGGGTGGAAGCATGCTCACCACGGGCTGTAACGGGGCACCAGGCATCATGGCATTGGCTAGCTGCATCTGCTGGGCCAACATGGCCATGTTCTTCTGCTGAATCAAGTTATTTCGTCCATTAATCTCCAACTGCGTTTTTAAGTGTGGGGGTGGGTGAAGGTATTTGCAGTTCTCCCGGGAGCAACGACCCTGAAAGATGAAAGAAGCAGGCACCATTGTGAAACAGAAACTAGTGAACTATAGAAATGATATGCAAATAAGTCATCTATAGCTATGAAGTTTTCATAAAAGTTATCATTCACACCTATTCATTACACATTAAGAAAAAGTAATAAATCCAACCACAAATGTAGTCTCAAAATGAGAATTTAAGACATTTGAAAAGTTCAAAAGCTGAAGGAAGTTCCTTCAACATAATGTTCGTGTTACTATTTCCATTTTAAAAGCCTATAATTAAAAAGTTAAGTCTAACACAGTGACTATCAACTAAAAAGTTTTGACTGCTGGCCACAAGGTCTTCTTCCTCAAAATTGTGAAGTCATGGAGAGACTCATGCAGGCTTATTATTGGGATTTTTATGCATACTGAATTTAAGCAAATTAGCCTAGAGGTCTCAAAGAACACTGTTTCTTCAGAAAATGCCTCCAAGTGAACCCCGTAACAAATAAAATGGAAACTGCTACTGAACTTTTACAAGTCCCATGCATTAGGGATTTTATGGCTGACAAGAGAACTACCACTTTCTCACAGCCATGGAGATTTACAGATAATCAAACACTTGTGATAAATGAGCCTTCTGCCCTTCAAAGATAACACTGTCCCATGACCCCAAACTATGAAATAATCAGAGACAGAGATGCTCATCCTGCAAAGAACTGACAATGAAAAAAAAACAGAATAATTCACTAAAGCTTAATAACTATAAGTATGCATTTACCCTGGCATGGTTCATCAGAAGACTTTATTAAAGACTATAATATGCCATATTGCGGGAAATACTTTAACCATATTGACAAATACATCTCAACAACTACTTTGACAACTTTTTCATCAGTGCATCTAATCAGAACTCCTTGTTTGTTCAGAAGAAATCACAAAGATTAAGCTGTCACTAACCTTCTTCACCCTTTTTTAATCTATAGAAAAGTAAATTCTGTTTAACTTTACTTTGCATAAACTAACTCTGAAAAACTGATGCTTATGCCACAATTGTAAGTCAAATACTCTATTTTGGTTCTTTTCCTTTAAGAATTTTTAGGACAAGTCTCTGTACTGAGAGTTTAAGGCTCTGAACAGTCTATAGCTTCCTTAGTCTTTCTCAGGTCCAAAGGAAACTCCACTCCTCCAAACCCTGGCCCCTATTTCCCTCTACCAAAGCAGCCAGTCTTCAGCACTGTCAGAAGGGACACATGGCCCCTATCTGCACACTGAAAGGAGTGCTGTCCTCCAGGCTCTCACCGCACAACTACCGTGGCTTCTCTCAGCCCCTATCCTAAACCTCCCCAAGCCATGGGCTTCCCTTCCCTCAGCTTCTTATTCCCATATAACCCTGGCCATTTTGGTCAGGTACTCTCTTTGTTCCTGCTCTTTTGTCTTTTTTTTTTGTTTGTTTGTTTTGTTTTGTCTTCCTCTCTCAGCCTCCTCTCTCTTACCACTTTTTCTTGATCTCCTGGTCAGCATCCTCTCTCACTCCCCATCCCCACCATGGCTGAGTCCAGTCTGCTGGCCATATTAAATCTACTACTTTCTCTCCGTGCTCTGGACCCTCACAGATGACTCTGGTTGTACCCTCCCTCCTGTCTACAGTAAAAATCTCCCCTTCAACCACATCGTGGAGCAGTCATATCCTCAATTTATACATCTGTATTTATTTCCACAAATAGCACACACAAAGCCTGGTCTTGAACTTGTAGATACTAACAGTTGCTTGTCTCGTACTCCTTTCTAGTGCCTTCCCTGACCACGCATCACCAAGCCAGCCCTTCTACCTATGAACACAGCCCTGACTGAAATCACGGAAAGGAATCTTATGTCCTGGTTATAAGTTCTGCATCACACGTCCTTTCAGAGTTTTAAAATAATATGGATTAAATGCCACAGCATGCTCACGGAGACCAAAGAACCACTTGTGAGAGTCACTTCTGTCCTTCCATCACATAAATTCTCAAATTAAACTTGGGTTGCCAGGCTTGACAGTGAGCATCTATACCAGCTGAGCCATTTTGCAGGTCCATCCGTCTTGAAATTTAGAAGCGCAGACAGGCGCATGGCCTCCTTTCTGTGTTTACGATAACTAATCAGGGGAAGAGGCATCACCTGACCACACTTCTTACCTGTTGCTTAATCATATTGTTTTGGTCCCTAACTTTCCAAAAGCTGTGGGTATGTTTTAAACAGGATGTTCCTACTCGTCTTCTCTGTCCTGTGACAATTCCTGGGGAGACTTGAGAAGGCATCCACCCAAGTTCAAGATGGCAAACCAACGTGTTGACTGGGGTTAGGGCATGAGGGAAGCTTATCTCTAGTGCCTGTGACCACAAGTTGGGTCCAGCAATGTGAATTCGCATAAGCACTTCGATGGTTCTGGCATAAGAGAAGATACCACAGAAGACGTCTTGTGCAAATCCCACAGGAATTTGCTTCGATACGCACAGAAAAAGTAACAGTAATCCACACAAGGGATACTTCATAAACTTTGACTTTTAGGAGGTTTAAAATAGGTTGGGTGCTGACCATACTACTGAATGACTGAAGTTCCACAAATAAAAAGATCAGGAATAAGTTAGAACAAACATCCCATGCTAGAGTATTACCTAAATGTCTAAAAATACAAAACAACTAAAATCCACCAGCAGTATAACTTCCTTTGAGAATTTAGGTAAAGCTAACAGCAGTACATCCTAGTGCTAATGAATGTCATGGAATACAAACCAAATTTAATACCAAGTCTTTATTCTGAGCTATGCTGACTGAATGCTTTCATTCAGAGACCAGAGAATAATTTATATTCATCACAAGCCTTTAGATACACTCTCTCTCTCTCTCTCTCTCTCTCTCTCTCTCTCTCTCTCTCTCTCACACACACACACACACACACACACACACACACATACACAGACACACAGACAGGCAGTTTGTAAGGTGACTTGGGAGGTCAGGAGATCTATGCACACATCGCTTGCATTTGTATTTGGCACCCTAAAATGTAGAAAAGGGCAATACACTCAACAAGCCTAACATCAAATTTGTATAGCCTATAAAGCTCACATCTGGAGATTCATGTAGGAGTTGCTATTCTCAATTATTTAGATGTCACCTCAGCACACATTAAATTGGATTACTAGGATTTAATAACATAAAAACTGACATGTGTGTGTCATATGTACATGTGGTGTGCATGTGTGTGTATGCATGTGTGTGTATGTGTGTCATATGTGCATGTGGTGTGCTTATGGTGTGTGTGTGCATGCATGTGTGCGTTCATGAGCAGATGCCCAGTCTTCACACTAATTGTTCTTTATCCATTGAGACAGTGTCTGTCTCTGAATCTGGAGGACACTGACTGGCTAGACTGACTGGCCAGGTAGCTGAGCAGTCTCCTTTGCTCTCTCCCAGCACTGGGATTCCAGGTAAGCACAGCCTTGGCCAGCTTTTCACGCGGTGCTGACGATTTGAACTCAGGTCCTCATGCATGCCTTGCCGGCCCACTGAGCCAAGATCCCTGCTCTTGGAGTGTATTTGCATTTGGCTTCACAGACACGTGTACAAGCACCTATGTTGTAACTGTACAAAGATTGCTTTAAACAGTGGCTTTGTTTTTCGGTTGGGTGAGTTCGTGGAATCGGTGAGCTCTATGTGGCCATGTCGTCTTGTCAGAGTAACCACAGCAGGCAATGTGCCTCTGTGATAAGGGAAGCTGAGAGGAGCTCAGGCCGACTTTCTACATAACTGGATACTGCGCTGTCAATAACTCTGAATATTGTCCCCACTTTCCTTAAGACCTTCAGTAAGAAGGAAGTGGTTCACTCAAGCACTACAGCTTTAAAAAGTCCTGAAAATAAAACAGGCACAGAACCCGGTCATCAACAATGAGGAGGCGGTGCTTCCTTAGCCATCACCCAAAGAAAAACCCCATTCTAACCCATGTATTCGTGTGGGATTTTTGTGTTTTGCATTTGTTGATTCCAGGGCAGCTTTACTTTCAGATCACCATTAAACTGAATGAAATCAACAACAGTGACTGAGAACATCACACTTGCAAGTTATGATATTAAAATTCATTCCATCTGAATTTAAGGACAAGCTCATTTAGCTTGAAAAATTATAATCAACTTTGTGATGAAAAGAAGTGAAATTTTGTTTGAGCAAAGTGTTTAGTCCTCAGAACAAATACCAGGTTCACTCTTCAATCTTACAACTCTGTACTACACATTTAAAAAATAATTGTATGGGTATGTAAACATAGTAAAATCACAAAGTGAATGGATGGGATTCATGTTTCATGTTCACAAAGAGAGAAGATGGGGACTATGGTGAGTGCCAGGCAACCAACAGGACAGAAAGGATAAAACATTAAACCAAGAGATGGGAATTTAGAAATATGCAAATGATGTGCCTGAGCAATTTCTAATATTTATTTCAAAAGCCTGCTAAATGATGAAAAATAAAGCAGCACTTTAGTTAGAAGGTATAATAATTTAATAATACAAAAAAGGTCAAAATTACATTTTGATTGTTTTTCATTAACCTGAAATGAAAGGATTCCTACGATTATGTAGTCAGAGTCTAAAAAGATGTACTGTCATGCTGCCAAATACTAAGGACGGGTAGGACAAAATTACCCAGTCAGATCTGGGTAGACAATAGAATAAGGAGGCAAGGAACAAATTATATACACCTCACAAGTCTTTTCCAGCTTCCTTTGGCAACACTGAGTTTCTAGTAAGGCTCCTCAAACTAGAATCGTTTATTTCAACGGTTAAAACAAAACCAGTATTTCCTTTGTGAAATCAGAGACTGTTTTTGAAGCACTTTCTGGAGATATTTACTGCATAGATCTTAGCCAGAAATGTGACCGTGAAAGCAAGTAGCTGCCTACTGAAACTTCTTGCCAGTTTTTTCCTCCCACAGCTGGTACATATTTTCCCAAAATAAGATTATTAATGGCACTGGTCACTAAGAATTCTCAC